CGAATTGAAATCGATAAATCACAACTACAATCGACGAATCAGGATTTAATCCTCAATTATTTAATTGTGTAATTAGCATTAGGTGTCATAAAGGCGACCGAACAAACTCATTACGACTCAATATTTTATGACGCTCGTCATAAACCCTCATTTTGCTCCATTAACTAAATTACATTCCTCCGACTATAATCAGAAATCTCGTTAGGGCAAATAAAATCCTTCGCCCTGTGCATATCCCCTGGAGGAAATACATGGACCTTCATCACTTGCTCGACTTTTTATCGCAATTTTTTACTCCTTCATACTCAGTACAGCTTCTTCCTCCGATTACCGCACGCCTCGCCTCTCAGGATTTCACTCTTTCTGTCTTTCCTCTGGTTTCCTCTCGTTTTTTCTCTTTTTCCCTCGTTTCCTCTCTACCACAGGATTTCATGGCTTTCACATTGAATCAGTGCAACGTACCACTAGAACACACCGCGTTCCCGTAATTTCGAAAAGCACTACTTCCCCATCCCCAAATTTCGGTTACGCGCAGTCATAAAGTTAATCTGCGTGAGAGTCTGAGGGAATTTCTGAGTTGAGTTCAGCTATTTTCTCTTCTTCTCTCTTCATTTTTCTTTTTTTTCGCTTCCTCTTCATCTTCTCGTTAAGGATGATAGTGTGTTGATGATGCTATCAGAAAAACACAAGGGGAAAAGATTTCTTTCGTTCTCAAGAGAAATCTTTACAGAGAGAATGTTTTCTCATAAGAAAGAATTCCTTCATGTCAGAACGGAAATTTCCACCGTGAATAATTTTCACCTAGACACTTCTGCTCTCCGGAAATTCTTAATAATAATAAATAGTAATTTTATTCTAGTGCCAGAACTATATATTTTTTCTTTGTCTCTTGTAATGTTGCACCGGAATTTTTTTTAGATTTCGCTTTTGAATGAGAATGAGAAAGAATGTGCGAAAATTCGGATTTGATTCGGAGATATTAATCAAGAAACTAATTACTGCACACTGGAGGACAGAATTGGATCAGTGAAGCGCAGGTTTCTTCGATAGTTTATGTTCAATCGGTTTGAATTATTTATAATTACGGGGTTTGGTGTCAGTTTGTCCTGTGGGAATATCACATCTGCGGAAGGAAGTGGAAGGAATTCCTGTAGGAAGGAACAACTAGGAGCAAACAAGAGTAATTTATTTTGCTTGGAGGATTATTCCTTTTGTAGTTGTCAATTAAATCGGGGAGGGGTGTTAATGAGTTGGGGGGCGGTATTTCTGAAAGCATGGGGTGGAGGAGGTGGAGGAGGTGGAAGAGGTGGAGGAGGTGGAGGAGGTGGAGGAGGTGGAGGAGGTGGAAGAGGTGGAAGAGGTGGAAGAGGTGGAGGAGGTGGAGAAGATGGAGGAGGTGGAGGAGGTGGAGGAGATGGAGAAGATGGAGAAGATGGAGAAGATAGAGGATAAATATTGTTCCCTCTCTTTCGAACCTAGAAATTCACTGTTGACTCGGCATGGCAGTTACTAAAGCAGACTCTCGTTAAAAGTTGACGGTGAGAAAACCTCCGACTTATCTTCCTCTCCGTCTTCCGTTGCTCATCGTTCACATTCCCGACGGAGCATTCTACTTTACACCGGTTCATCCTCAGGGTACGGGGAAGGGATTAAGCTCAGGGCGGGGAAGACATTTTGCGACATCTACGTGATGGGAATACGTATTCCAGGGCTTTGGGGAATCGACCATCGATCTGGCGAGAACGATCCGTCCACGAGTTTTTATTGGTGAGTTAGGCGAAGAGGGAAAATCCGCGAATTAACGGGAATTCTCGGGAATTTTCTTCTATATCTTTGGAGGATGTGGGAGGGGTTAGTAATCAGGGCATTGAAAGTCCTTTTGAATTTCGGTTTGCTTTGGATGGTTTTGATTGAGTCTTTTGGGGTTTTTCTATTTCTTTCGGGCGTGGGAATTTTATTAATGATGAGGAGATGTTTTTTGAAAAAAATTCTAGGGTAATCAATTTTTTAATGGCAAATGTAATATTATTTAAAATTAAAGTAGAAATTAAAATTGAAATTAAACCTCATATTAAAATGGAAATTAAAATCGAAATTAAAATTGGAATTAAAATCGAAATAAGAATTAAAATAAGATTTGAAATAAAAATCGAAATTAAAATTGGAATTAAAATTGAAAATGGAATTGGAATTGAAATTTAATTGTAATAAAAACAAAAATTATCCCTCAATTAAATAGAAAATTTGAAATTTCAGAATTTACGTAACGGTTCATATAGTTTATGTTTGAACTATAATATTTTTATTGACCTTTCCCTCGCTCCCGGATTTCAGTTCGAAACGTAATTTTTACGTTCTTACTCTGCTAAGTTTAATAGAATTTTTCTCTCTGGCAGACCTAAAACCCTCTACACCCCATTAATTTGTTTCCAAACCGCGAATGCTTACGCCTCATAATTTCCGTAAAACCAAAGCCACCGGATCTCCAACACAATGACCTCGAGTTTCCGATGTGGTGTTTGGATCTCCAGCATCTGGCGATGATTTACGCTCGTGCGGCTTCTGACGTTTAAAAGCAAAACCCCGAAAAAGCGCTCGAGGGGAAAAATGGCGGAGTAAAAAAGAGAGAATGAAAAAAAAGGTGTAAGCATTCTTCGTTGAGAGGTTTTCGCGGGTGTTCCCAGTATCTGTCAACGAGGCGAGAGGAAAATTTTGATAACCGAGTGAGTAATTTCACTCGGGCTGATCCATCACGACAGTATCCACTTACAGACGCGTCGGGGAAAAAAAAATATGTTGAACCGGTCGTACGTCTGGAGGGATGAGTTCACAGGAAAAATAATGAACAATTTCTTGGATGGACTCGGTGATGGGTTCGAATAAACTGGGTCAGATTTTATTCAGTACGGGGAAAAAATATTTTCGCCAGGGGCATTTTTCCAACGCCGGATTTGCATAAATTAATTCTGACAGAAAAAAAATATCTCCGATCGGTGGAAATACCTCGCGATTATTTTGAGAGTAAATTAATGGAATCCTATTTCAATTCTCAGGGAGTGAAGGATTTATTGTCGCAATGAAAAAATGATAGATTGTCTGAAAAAAATAATCATTTTGGTTTATCATAAAATTCTTCATTTATATTTTATAAGAAAAAATATATAAAATCGTGGAATCTCCTCAGAAGTCTATTTTACTGGTGAATAATCCCCATAATTCCAAAAGAAATTATTAATTAATTAAAAATTAGATTTCAGGGAAAAATGGTGGTTTTGGTTTACAATAAAATGAAAAATTGACAAAATTTCCGTCTTTTTAATTTATAGTTAACGATTTAAAGAATGGTAGAAAGGGATTTCCTGAGAAATGAGTTTCCCTTATGAATAATCCCTCCTGATTGATTCGCATTGCACCCAGGGACTCCTCGATAACCGAGCAATACAGCAATAAAATGATAAATATCGAAGACAGGCGGTAAAATAACACATCTGTGCAACAGGTGTGCAGGTAAAATGTCAGGGGATAAGTGAGGGTCAACAAACTGGCGTTACGAGTCTCATTTGCCTGCAGTATTTACGGAAGGCTTTGAATACTTTGGATTGAATACGAGGTGTGCTCTATCCTCGATACCCACCTAGAGCTTCAGACCCTGTCACCGTGTGTGGGCTTGAATTATCTATCGAGCTCACGTTGCTTTATCGCTTATTGATCGTAATTGATACCACAGAACCGAGAAGATAAATAATTAAAAGGGTTCCCCAGGATTTAGATTAAATTACGCACCTGATGCGTTATTACACGATGTATCAATCATTCACATGTATTATCACTCCCTGATTACAGTCTGAGTTTCTAATTAATTTCATTTTCGAGCTTCAAATAATTTCAATATGATTATTAGTTATTCGTCAGTGAATCATAATTTTATAGCGACGATAATATTATCACTAATATTTTATAATTTTTATTAATATGAGATTGATGGAATAATTATCATTCGAAAATTATTATTTCTGTCGTCCAGAATTGAAGAAAAATTAAAAAATCAACGTTTTCATAATGAAAAATCCGTTTCGCAGTCACGGGAGAATTTATTCGCCTCAACTTCCCGTAGAATAATAATAAATACGTCGAACAACGCTCATAAATATTCACTCCGGAATTTTCGATGTACGTAAAGTGCACGTGTGTTGAGATTGACTATGAAATGAGGTAAAAATGAATTTAAATTGACCACGGAAGACTGACGCTGACGCCAAATCCTTTCAATTAAAGTAATCAAGTGGATGACTAATTGGATGAGAGAATTTCGATTCATCAGTTTGAATTTGATTATCACCATTGGCGATACTAAACCTCGATTTTCCGTGGGCAAATAAAAAAAAAGTGGTCTAAATAAATCCTGTAAGTAGGTGTTGCACTGATCGATCGGACGGTTCATTTCCCCGGTAGCAGGTCAGACATGCAACTCGACTTTGGCACAATGACCCCGTATGAATAGGTCGTTGGAGTCAACTTCAAGTATCGATCCTCGATCCATATTTCTTTTCTGGTGGATAACCGCATGCGCTCGGGTGAATTTCAAGCAGTTATAAACGTACCAACTGGGTGGTAGGCAAGAAGAGGGTCGTTCAGGGGTTTTGGATCGCGTGTTTTGGCAAGACAATCGTTGGGGTGTGTTCTCGTCGATCCATCACTCGGTGGAGAACCGGATGGAGGTCTTACTCGAGATGTCCTGGTGGCAGGGTAGGGGCTTTTCGATTCACTGTACAAGTTTGATCGACGTTTATTGCACATAACAGTTAATATATCGGTATGAGGACTAGATCGTCTATTCCTATAGATCTCAATCGGCCAAGTGTTCAATAAGATGGAAGTCCATTGGTTTTAATTGTCCTCCATTTTCTTGGCATCGAGTAATTACAGGAATAAAGCCAAATGTACGATCAGACGTTCAGTCTGGAAGATTCAATCGCTTTTCAGTACCTCTGGGAAATTGAATGTCAAATCCAGATAAATCGCTCTGTCCTCTAGTCACTATTCTCTGGTTTATTCAATGGGGGTTTTTTTTTGCTGTTTGCAGAGAGCGCGGGTGAAGATGAGGAGAGTCTCGCTGGTGATGGTGTTGTCACGCATCTCACCATGACAACGAGGGTTTCGGGAATGGGAAGCCCAACACCTGGGGGCTTCCATCGTGGTATCATTGGTGGCCATCACAATCAGCATGTCACCTTTGATCCTGAAGCCCAACCAACCATGCTCTATCCAACCACCAGCCTCCTCGAGAGGCCTGATATTACTGATAAAAAGGTCAAGGTGGGTATTGCTATCGTTTGTAATCATTAGAAAATTGTTAAATTGGAGAGAGCTATTTTTTGAAGCCGGTTTTTACGCAATATCTCGGAATTGAAGGAACATGGCGAATTTTTTGTAAAAATATTTTTTATGGAGAAAGATTAGAGCTACAAAAAAGGTATATATGAAAAAATCGTTATCTTCTTTCAATTCCGAGAAATTGGGGGAAAACTGACCTCGATGCAAGATAAAAATGCATTTATCCTAGTTTACACATATTCAGAGAAAAAATACCACTTCAGCAATTTATTTAACACCAGCAAATTAAATTATTTAATCGGAATCATTAAAAATTTTATGAATGATAATGCAAAATAATATGAATTATTTTAATAAACTTATGGAAAATAAACAAAACCATTAATAATTGCATTAAGTGCAAAATAAAATTCTTTAAAATTAAACTTTTCTCCGATATTCTTTTCTATAACATATTGGTATTATTATTATTAGTAGTATTGTTATTATTATTATTATTATTATTTGTATGGAGAGGAATAAAAAAAAAGATCTGTATAGCGATGAGAAAAAGTGAAAAAAGTTCAATTGGATTTTACACCTGACGTAAATTGCGTGTAATACCGCTTCTAGAGTGGAATGTGATTTATTTCTCACGTCCCATGTAAACGAGACAAGTACCACTCCATCCGCAATAATGCAGACACCGAGAACGAGATGACACTCAACCCTTTTTCTCTCTCTGAACTGACCCAGCATCCCACAGGAAAAAAAAAAAATAAACCAGAAAAACACGATTCCACAGTTTGTTTCGGTTTTATTTTTATTGTTCAGTTATTTGTCCCGACCTCCATGACCTGTTAAGTAATACACGCTCCATTGAATTGACCCCATCGTCTATAAATAGAGGAAAGCCTCAAGAAAAATAATGCAGGGGGAAATATTCAATGAAAAATTACGGAACAATCCGCGTAATCTGGAATTAATAATTGTTTTATCGTGATTTTTGGAGGAATCGGTGTAATCGCGATGTTTAACTCTCACCTTTATTACTGATTACAGTTCTTAATTTTTATTTGTCACATAATTTTTTGGGAAGAATGCAAATTTTTTTTTTGAGAATGCGAGAAAATTTCTGGTGTAATTCCAATTACGTATTATATATGAGAATTTATTGTTTCTTCCTTGTTATTATGATGTTTGGAAATAATTTGCGATTTCTTGAAATATTTTTAGCTGTAATATTCTGAGTTGTGTTATTCTGACAGGTAAACTTCTCCTTCGTTCCCTTTTCTGGTAATTTTTATTGGATTTTTTTCTCAGTGCGTGGGAGGATCGGCACAGACAAAATCCCGTTGTTCTCCACTTATTCTCCTGTACCTTATTACTCTTTCACTAATTTCAATGACCTGTTAAGTAATACCAAGTGGAAGTCTCATTAATTCTGCCCCACATTTCGCGGGATCCGTCGGAGGGGAGAGGAAATTTCTCTTATACTCGCGCTTTCTTCTTTATTTTAAACTCTAGGACTTTTTCTTGCACTGTCCTCTGAAACTTCCTCTGGTACTGCGAGTTTCAACAACCTGTCGGGTGACTCGATGTTTTTTTTAATTAAAGAATCTTTTAATTTTTTGTTGATCAATTTATTGTAAGAGAAATACACGATACAAGCCAAAGAATTCCGCAAATTTACTTCAATTGATAAGAAACTAGAAAATTGCATGATGATGATTTTTTCAAAATTTATTTTTAATATTTAATTATTTTATAATATAATATTAACTATAAAAATATACTGTTTTAATTTCCAAAATTCTATTCATTTTGTTTATTATAATTTTTTTATTTTACCATTGTTAATTGTATTATTGATAATTTGTTATAAGTTATTGCTATTTATTTAATAAATATATGTTCACTGATGCACTTGCGTTTCAATCGGTATCAGAACTGGAATTCGATACCGAGAATAAATACAATAATTATTTCGCGAATTGCGATGGAGGAATGACTAGGAGTTGAAGAGGAATTAAATAATTTTCCACGAGGGAAGATTGAGCGGCCATGTTTTATTGGAGTGAGAAGACATGAGGCGTGGCACGATTAAGCCCCTTGAGACTGTCTGGACGTAGCATGAAGTGAAGGAAAACGATGAAGAGGATGGGAAAATAGTGGGCATTTACCGGGGGATGAGATGATATCGAGGGTGAAAGAGGGAAAATTGTAACGCGACATTCGACAAGGCCACGAGTGTTTGTCCTGGCGCTCCCCGGACGATTGACCACACCCTCGTGTATAACCACTAGTATTCATCCTTTTTTTTTCATTTGTACATCCTAAATCCTCTATTTTCATCCTGAGGAGGCAGGAGTGCACCTCATTTTTACCGATATCACTTGAAGACGACTTGGTTACTCAGGAAATGTGGGCGAATTTATTGCGTATTTATATGGAAGAATCGGTTGGGAATCGGTTGAAGATCGGTTGAAAATCGGTTGAAAATCGGTTGGGAATCGGTTGGGAATCGATTGGGAATCGATTTGGAATCAGTTAGGAATGAATTTAAAATGAGTCTAAAATCGATTGGGAATCGATTCTGGATCAATTGAGATGGCGAAGGCATTAGTGTCACAACAGGTGGCGATTTTCGCGTTTCGGATTTCCAATTATAACGATGGGAGAATAAATATCGAATTCGGCGAAAGTCGAGATGCTGAATTGTCTGCTGCAGCTCCTGGGGCATTTCTCGGATGTTCGAGGGTTTGGAGCAGCTAACGGGGCTGTTTAACGACTCGGGGTATTTTCAGAGTTTAAATGGAGTTGGAGGAATTATTCACTCCCTGTTGGAGATGTTCATGGGCCTCTCGAGAGTTTAATTATGGTTTCCAGCGGCTATGGTGACCCGGCGAATTGCTGTTGGTTTATAACGTTGGAATAATTATTCAAGTCGGAATTATTGAACCGAAAGTCAGTCTCTATGACTTTCTTGGGAAATTGATTCCCAATTACAGAAGTTTAAAAATTGTATCAAATTAATTATAAATTTGCCCAATAAAAAATTGATACACAAAGAAATTACGCACTTCTAATGAATAATTATTGAAATCCTATTAATTTTTCGTAGAAGAATTAATAAAGAAAACTAAAAATCATCGCGATGATAATTGAATTTACTATTATAATTATGATTATTATTAAAATTGGTGGAGATTCGAGGTGTTGAAGAAAGAATTCCAAAATCGTTGGCGACCGATCAGTAATTTCTTGTAATTCTTCAATTACTTAAGTAGACGGATGTTTTTCCGTGAAATTAATGAATTGGCTCGATTTCAGAGGCAAAGTATTCACGGTATGATGGAGGAGGAGAATGTAGTGCGACCCCACCAGGAAATCGCCAGTCTCTCCCTAGCGGAGAAGAAATATCTGTTGGCAGTGGAACGAGGGGATGTCGCCTCAGTGAGACGGTAATTAATTTAGTGTTGAACTTTCCCCAGGTCCTGATGCAAAATTTCAACAGATAAATACCTAGACAAATAAAATAAATAATATTAACCCCAGGATGCTGCAGAAAGCCCAGGAGGACAAGTCGATAAATATGAATTGTGTCGATCCACTGGGCAGATCTGCACTGCTCATGGCAATTGACAACGAGAATCTCGAGATGGTGGAACTTCTCATAAAGTACAAAGTCGATACCAAGGATGCACTGTTGCATGCTATATCAGAGGAGTTTGTCGAAGCTGTTGAGGTACTTCTTGAGCACGAGGAAACCCTCCACAGGGATGGCAAGCCCCACGTAAGCAGCCCGGCTGTGTCGTCCGCTTGTCATATGACAGTTCGTAGCTTGTTATCTGTTCACATTGATTTAAGGATATTTGGGCATTGTCGTTCCTCAATACTCGATCTGACAATGGCAATTCAATTGATTTTCATTAATTTATTAGCTCCAGTGCATGGAACGACGAGTCATTCTGTAGATAATTAAGGGGATGGGGAGATTTTTTTGAGATGCATGGATAAATAAATCGATGGGCCAATTTGAAATTGTTTTTGTTTGTTATATTTTTGGCTGTTTGTCGACCGGAAGTCAAGGAAAATGGAAATCATGCGCATGATTTCAGTTGCGATGTGGTAATTAGGAGAAGAGCATTTTTTTGAAACCGGTTTTTAGGCAATATCTCGGAATTGAAGGAACCTAGCGAATTTTTTATAAAAACATTTTTTATGGAAAAAGATGAGAGCTATAAAAAAGGTATCTATGAAAATATCATTATCTCTCTTCGATTTCGAGATATTGGCTATAGACTGGCCTCTGAAAAAATGCGCTCATCCTAGTTTACCACTTTACAACAAAATTGTTATAAAAAAAAATCCAGCGGATTAATTATATAAAAAAATTAATATAGATAAGCATTTTTCAGTGAAAAAAAATGTAATGGTTAATGGAATTGCTGCGGAAAAAAATAGATATGATATTTTATCAGAATGTAAATGTAGTTACGCATTCATGAGAACTAGATACTCAGTTGAATAGACTCGTCTCGTTCCAACTTTTCTCGAGAATAACGGAAACAGTGTTTTCGTGATAAATTCAATTCAGCAACCGACGAGAGTATTTAGCGAGGTGCACAAATTTCATTCGATTGTCCTCTTCTTCATAATCATATTCACCACTGAGTGTAATTTAAAAACGTTCAGTTGAAATTTCGAGGACGGCAAAATAACGTGCGACCCTGTAGAGACGCAAGGATTATATTTCAGATGAAGACGCGTCAGCAGGTCAGCCCCGTAGAATACCTATTCTCAGCTTGATTAAGAAATTCCTCGTTGCTGTTGAGAGGAGACCAGAAAAAATATCTCAGAATGCCGTAGAACTGTTCAATTCAGCTGCATTCCTGCCCAAAAATCTTTAAAACACAGAATCCCTAGCCGAGATTAAATCATTGGTACCCACTGCACTGTGCTTTTAGTGTTCAATGTGTAATCCTAGTTCCCTCAAATCTGCATGCAACTAGAGTCTTGTCTCCCAATCCAATCATATTCATTGCATCAACTGAATTACCATTCACTTATCCAGATAAATGCATAAATTCAACAGTTGTAAATTGGAATGATGAAAGAAACACTTGACATGCCTGAAGCACCCCTTTTTTATTCCTCTGAATATTTAAATGTTTAATTTTAAAATGAAAAATGGTGAATACAGAGCTGGGAGGCTCTCGATCCAGACACTGCGACATTTACCCCCGACATCACGCCTTTAATACTCTCGGCACATCGTGACAACTATGAAATCATTAAAATTCTTCTGGACCGAGGCTCGGTGCTGCCCATGCCCCACGACGTCCGTTGTGGGTGAGTCAAAAAGTGAAATACTTTTTCATTTTTAGTTGTTTTTAAAAAACAATTCCACACCAGATCAACAAATAAAAATTGATTTTTTAAATCGATCGCTCCGATTTCATTCGCGAAATGGTTAATTTTTTTTCTGGGCTCAATTCCGGTAAAAATTCGTAAAAATAGTCTATAAAATATAAAACAATAAAAAAATATATATTACATGTATTTTTTGATATGGCGACTCTATGTCTAAATCCAAGCTAGACAAAATAAATCGTCAACGAAAAACGTTTCACTGTTTTAACAGAGAAAATAGAAATAATAATTTGCAACTGAAAATGTTCCCTTAAAAAATAAATAAATATCCGTCGATACACCTCTCATTATCAAAAACGAGAACCGTTTCCCCTAAATGATTGCCTGAAGCATCCATGAAGAGTACAAATGAATAATTACCATCGAACAGATGCGATGAATGTGTAACATCGAGGATGGAGGACTCCCTGAGGCACTCGAGGAGTCGTATAAATGCCTACAGGGCACTGGCCTCACCCTCTCTCATAGCCCTGTCTTCCAAGGATCCAATCTTAACGGCTTTCGAGCTCTCCTGGGAGCTGCGTCGATTATCCTTCCTCGAGCATGAATTCAAATGCGAATACCAGGTGTGCTTATTCAAAATGCGCTCAAACACCACTCCATAAACTCAGAGAAACCATTAACACGGTTTTGTCTCTTTGATCGCAGGAATTGAGACGACAGTGTCAGGATTTTGCCACAGCACTGCTGGATCATACCAGGAGCTCTTATGAGCTAGAAGTGCTGTTAAATCATGATCCAACGGGACCAGCGTTCGAGCACGGCGAGAGAATGCATCTGAATCGACTAAAACTGGCGATCAAGCTCAGACAGAAAAAAGTAATGACCAAGTGTTTTTCTCTCTTCGATCCAGCCCCTCATTTTTTTAATCCCCTTTTAATTACGGTTCACTTAATTGAGCTTTAAGAGGGACATTTACTATTCTATTTCCAGTTTGTTGCACACCCAAATGTCCAGCAATTACTGGCCTCGATTTGGTACGAGGGCCTTCCAGGCTTTCGTCGAAAGAACATGGTATTACAGGCACTTGAAATCGTACGTATTGGAATTCTATTTCCATTTCTCAGTGTCGCTTACATTATCGCGCCACACAGTGTCTTCGGTCAGACCATGAGAAAACCCTTTATCAAATTCATCTGTCACTCGGCATCGTACTTCCTATTTCTCTGTGAGTAGAACATTCAATCAGCTGTATTAAAATAAAATCGATGAAGTCTCTTTGGATAGAATGTATTGAACTGATGATTGATGATTCCTTGGAAATTTTCATATTTATTTTCAACGCCTAGTCATGCTGATTCTCGCCAGTCAGAGAATAGAGTCAGTGATAGGCCTGTGGATGGGTCAGGACATTGATGAGCACGAGCCGGAGTCGAAAAGAGGGGCTGCACCAACTCTAGTCGAATGGTATTGATCCAGTCCAAAGAATAATTGAAATGCTAAAAGAAGAATTTACGTAATTTATACAATATACGTAACAGAGTGACATTATTTTGCTGGTCATTGCACAATAGGTTCATCTTGGCATGGGTATCGGGATTGATTTGGTCCGAGGTGAAGCAGCTCTGGGATGTGGGACTCGAGGAGTATGTCAATGACATGTGGAATGTCATTGATTTTGTAACAAATTCACTGTACGTTGCGACAGTTGCATTGAGAATAGTCGCTCATTTTCGTGTTCAAAAGGAAAATGAGGGACGAATGCCAGGATCAATTGTCGGACTGCAGAGGGAAGAGTGGGACACTTGGGATCCGATGCTCATATCTGAGGGTTTATTCTCAGCAGCCAACATCTTCAGGTAAATTAAAATTTAAACTGTCAAAGTAATTATTCATGTGCCGGTGCCTGTGGCTCAATCTAGGACGATATACCCGTCAATTATAATTACCATTCATCATCTCGGTAATTGTTGATGTGCAGCTCACTGAAGCTCGTCTACATATTCTCGGTGAATCCTCACCTGGGACCCCTCCAGGTCTCACTATCTAGAATGGTGATGGACATTATGAAGTTTTTCTTTCTCTTCGTTCTCGTGTTATTCGCATTCTCCTGTGGTGAGTGGTACGTCGTTGGAAAAATCTTTTATCCATTTGTCATGAATTTATCTCAATTGTTTCTCTTCCATTGAATCTTCAAGGTTTGAATCAACTGTTGTGGTATTACGCGCACATGGAGAAGAAGAGGTGTCCGACGGAGACGATGTATCCGTACAACAACAACATCACCAACAGCGATACCAATGCCTGCATTGTCTGGAGGAGATTCGCCAAGTGAGTTTATGAACAATCACTTGTTCTCATCTGCCACTCAATTCAATATTTTATTTTCAGTCTATTTGAAACAACGCAGACGCTCTTCTGGGCAGTGTTTGGCCTCATTGATCTCGAGAGTTTTGAGCTCGACGGCATCAAGGTGTTCACAAGGTTCTGGGGCATGCTGATGTTCGGCACATACTCCGTCATCAACATAGTGGTGCTCTTGAATCTACTCATCGCCATGATGAATCACTCCTATCAACTCATCTTCGTGAGTCTCATATTTCCTGCGTTATTATTTTCATCCTTTTCAAGTCCTCTCCAAGTCTTTCATCTCCATCCATCTTTCTAATGCGTCGATGCCTCGTTTTTATGGCTTTCTTTTTTCTTTCTTGTTTAAACTTCATGCATCACACCTCGTGCTCTTGTGAATAGGAGCGTGCTGATGTTGAATGGAAGTTCGCGAGAAGCAAACTGTGGATCAGTTACTTCGAGGAGGGGGGCACTGTACCACCGCCTTTCAATATTATTCCCACACCCAAGAGTCTGTGGTATATCGGACAGTGGATTCATAAAAAATTTTGCGGCCACAGTAGAGCTGCGAAGAAGGAGCACATGAGAACAATTCGGGTAATCGAATCTTGATTAACAATCACGAGAAAATAAGAGTTCACTAACACTTCACAGCTCATCTACTTTTTCAAACTTGAATATCTCATTATCAGAAGAGAGAAAGTTTCATGCGACAGTTTCCTCTTATCAATGTAAAATAACGTATCAATTACCGAGCTCAAGACTTCCTTTTGGCTTTGAAACTCGTAGAACGTCATGCTCATTAATTTTTAATAATCTCACAACGAAGTGTCTTGTCTTGAGAATCTCTGGTAAATGGTAAATGTGGATGAGAGAAATTTTCATTGGACTCATGACAATCGAGCTCATTACGATGTATTGGCTTGCAGCGAAAAGCTCAACAAGCTAGTGAGCGCGACCTGAGATACCAGGGAATAATGAGAAATCTCGTTCGACGATACGTCACTGTCGAGCAACGAAAAACCGAGGGTGAGGGTGTCACTGAGGACGACGTCAATGAGATAAAGCAGGACATCAGTGCATTCAGATGTGAATTAATCGAGATACTGAATGCATCGGGAATGAAAACATCAACGAGCTCATCAACCGGTACCGGTGAGCCCCGAGAATTCCCTCCTGCTCTTGATCCATCAGTTGTCTTTTTTAGACCCATAGTCATCTCTTAGATAAATAAATCCAGCTTTTAACCCAGACTTTTTGTATCGTTGCGCGATGCTCTGGGGAGATGCTTGATATATTTGAGGGTTTGCAGGTGCTGGGGGTAAGAAGAATCGACAGAAGGAGAGAAGATTGATGAAGGGATTCAACATTGCACCACAGCCTGGGGGCAGTGGCAGTTTACCACCGGTTGCTGAGTATATTGCATCACTCCAGCAGGCACAGCACGATCACAAGACGAGAGAGCTCACCAGCAGCACTCTCAGTGGAATCTTTGCTCCTGTCACTGCTCTCAAAAAGAATCCCCATCACATGAGCACTAACAGTGTTCCTGCTACTTGTAACAGGCAGAATCGAACATGCAGGAACGGCTCCAGGAAGAGACGATGGGGAACTCTCATCGAAGCTGCCAAAGTTCGGTCTAGGTTGATAGGTGAGTTGAAAGGGATTGACGAAACGTCTGGAGAAATCTCCATAATTTTCCTGTTAAGATTCAATTCAATAAAAATTTTATCGTAAGATTGAGCGGCGACAGTAGCCACGCGGGCGGTGTGTGACTCCGGCGATCACCCAAGCTAAGCAACGCTCAGTTGGGTTAGTACTTGGATGGGTGCCCGCTTAGTCACACCCATCGGCGTATAGACTGCCGCCGTCAGGCACGGGTGCGGAGAGCTGGTGTGTTCACCGAGTCAGTGTGACTGATGAACACAGCAGAATCCCCGCAGTACCGGCCGGCTGCGCTACTGAGGTTTTACATGGTTTCCCTCAGTACACGCCAAATGGGCGCAGTACAGAAAGTCGGCCCATGCTACCGCAAAAATAATGAGAGGATAGTAGGAGAGGCTAATGAGAGGATAGTAGGAGAGGCTAATGAGAGGATAGTAAGAGAGGCTAATGAGAGGATAGTAGGAGAGGCTAAAGGCTAAGACGAAGGGGCGCCTATCAAACCATGGTAACAATGGTAATAGGAAAAGGAAAAAATGTAAAAATAAAAATAATTTATCGTAAGATTAATTCAGGATTTCCTGTGGGAATTGTTTCGATGATGATTCCTCAGTGTGAGATCTAATGTTTTGGTTTCTTGTGTGAACAGAATTTTTTTATTCAATTCTAGACACCTACGCATCCACAGGAAGATCACGCTCCGAGGACTCAATGTATCCTCCCGCCTCTGAAGACGGTGGTTTCCGATCCGAGGGGTCCTCTGATTCGAAATCCTCCTTGGATGTACCAACAGCTGGGGGATCCCAGGAGAATCCCCAGAATTCCCAGCAGTGTGAGCGTCAGAACAACGTGTTCACCCACAGCCAAGTATTCTCGTCAGCACTGGCTGCCCTCAGAATGAAGAGAAAAAAATTCTCAGGATCAAGGGCATCAACGCCTGTTATGACTAGTGGAAATACGTCGACTGTTGAGAGTATCTCAGCTCTACCAACGGCAAGTTCCGTGAGCTCTGTAACTCAATCTACTAACAAGAGTCAGTTGCAGAGGGCAAGCAGTGTTCCAGCGAGGAAGATGGATCTAATTTCCAATCAAATTATCTTGGCGAGGTGTCACGATGTCACTCAGAGTCAACAACCGAGCTTGGATACTATGGAGATAACCAGCGTCAGCGAAAGACTTGGTAAGTGGTAATTATTATTGAGTTAATGACCCCCAAATGGTTCTTTATCTCCTGGAAATAGGTAGAATCAAAATCACGTAGGAACAGAATTTTTATTTAAAACGGATAACGAAATATATTTTAAAGAGAATACGGACAGATATTACACATAAAAGATGAAATGATTCACATCCTCATTCGCGATCGGTCAAGTCCGAACTGACTCACTCCTATTCCCCACGCCTTTCCCATTTTCCCATTTTCCCATTTTCTCATTTTCTCGTTTTCTTTCTTTATTTTAAACATTTTCTCACTTACTCTCACTTCTCAGCAATACAATTTTCACCCCGAAAACACCCTCATAGCAGGAAAAAGACCATCCATATGTGGCAAAGAAACTCAAAATATTATAAATAAATTCAATCGTGATAAAGTACGCTACGCAAGTACTTTTCCTTTCACACTTTTCTTATGCTACGGATAAACATTTAAAAGAGACTTCAAACTTAACGTCGTTAACTTGTAAATCTAATCATAAGAAAACAACAAAACACTCATTCTCTATTTTTTCCCAATTCCAGAAATATTAAACGAGTGGGATATTTAGGTTCATTGTTTCAAATGGGAAATCCCGTATTCAATCACAATTCGCCTCATTTATTTTTGGCACGTAGAGTATAGATTTTAGTTGATATCGATGCGCTTCCACTATTAGGCAGATCGTATTATTAAAGGGAATCGTTACTGAGGAAGTGGTATTTGTTGAATCAATTCAATTCATCGTAAAACAATAAATCGTGATGAGTGATTGTTTATCAATTGTAGCTTGTCATTGGGATAATTGGAATTCATGAGAGGAGCGTCAGTTAGGGGTCGTATTTGATCTATTGAATTTTGCTTGCATATTCCAAAGAGGCTGATGACATCAGAGTCGATGTGGAAGCCCTGAGTCCTTCGACGACCGACGAGAGCTTTCCCAGCCAGCCAACCACCTCAGGCGATACTATTCACACACAGAGTCTTACAACGAGCATCAAGAGAAATGGCTCAGCAACACAATTGCAGAGACTCGCTGGTATCGATTCAATTCGCGATGTCACCTCCGGCTGGCTCTGAGGATATAATCCGTCATTTAAATTGACTCGTTGCTCGTTCTATCTCAGTTTTTATTGGCAAACGGGGGGATGAGAGAAAATATGCCGAAGGAGGTAGAAGCGCGCTGGCGCATTTCACCGTTCCTTCAAGTGCAATGAGAATTCGTACTTGTAATTTTTCTCTCGTTTTACGACGGTCGTAGAAATTCTCCGCCCTTTTTCCTTCGATAAGTCGTATTTTTTTTTTTCCACATGCACAAACGCTCGTGGCCAATTGTTGTGAATAAATCGACTGTTGAAGGGGTGAGGGGTAGTGATATGGGGGGATGGGGAGTAGGTGCCACTCGTACATGCGTTGACAACTGCCAGTTAATTCGAACTGCGTGACGCAGTCATTACTGCGGTTTTTTTTTTTCGGGCTATTGCCCTCTTCGTGTCACTCTCAGTCTGCATTTTTTAAATTGAAAATATAAATAATTGGTGAGGATGAGTGCAGAGTTCGGGTGACTTGGGAGAATATTTTAATTGAAAATTATCACTATCGAATTTTATCGTAACGTTAATCAAACATCTCTTTAGTGGGTTTTACATAGAGAGAATAATGAGGATGACGACAGGTGTGGAGAGAAATTATTAAAGAATGTTGACAGGATTATAAAATAGCTGGTGGATGACTCGTTGTCGTCACGACCAAGTAGCACCAGCTGAATGCATTATTAATCTATCGTATTACCAGTGACAACTAGAATTAAACAAACGATATAGTAATTTTAAATTCAGATGCGAACGCACAATGTGGAACAACTGGAATTCGGTGCATATTTATCAAAATGGAGTTTGTGAAAATAATGAGAATAACGGAGAATGGAATACCATCAGCCTTTTTATTGCATACTCAACTGAATAAACAACTTAATGATAAAGGGGTGTAAGTATGTCGTGGCTTAAGTAAATTCATCACCTTCAGTAATTAAGTAATTGGTTCGTAATGTCTTTTAACAAAATTAAGTGAGTTTAATCACAGGGAGCTAATTGACATTTGGCACGTCTGGTGAGCTTTCTTGGACAGGGTTTGCCCCCATTTTCAGGTTCCCTCTGTAAAAAATAAACAAATTCATCCCATGGAAAATTCATTTTTCACAGATCCCTGTGGAATGCCATTAGTCGTTTTATTGAAATAAAATATTTTATGCTCAAATAATTTATTAGCGAAAGGGAAATGGAAGATGAATTGAATCAGTAACCGCTCTGATATTTTGAGTCTCACCTTGACCATTCGGAAACTAGTGACCCGTCCATTTCCGCAAGTGACGGAGCAAGGAGTCCAGGGTGACCATTCCGATACCATGCAGTCCACTGGTGGTAGGGCTGACTGACCATCCGGACTCTGCACTCCTGTGGGCTGTTGTCCTGTCAGAGCAGCCCTGACGACTCCACAAGTATTGCTGCACTCCTCGAAGGTCAGGAAGTTGTTTCTATTTCCCCTGCAGCCGCCGTACCCGAAGGAGATGCAAGTGAGTCTCTTGGGGTCGAATGCCCAACGCTGGAAATATCCCCTGCATGGACCCACATCGGCATCCTCCATGCAGACGACTTTGGCAGTCGCCATGTCAAAGGTGCAGTCTGCCTGAACGAGACAGGTCCGCTGCTGAAGAAGTTCCACACGAGTTGAACACTCTTCTTGTCTGGATGGATCCACCATCAGCAGACGTGTCCGTATTTTCACACCTTTTCCACAGGATGCACTGCAGGGAGACCAATCAGACCATTCCGTCACCTGAGGGGAGGATCATTAATTAATTTAATCGATGGACTATAATTTTTTTTAGATTTTAATAGAACTCGGATGGAAATTCCATAGAACTTTTCAGAGAGAGAAAACACAAAGTTTTTCCATCAAGTTTTTCTTTACGTCAGGGAATTGGGAATAAAGAGAAACCTTGCACGATGGATCGATAATTTCTTCAGTTCCCGTACAGGGTGGCCCCACACACTCGATTTTCTCCACTAAGCTAACATGGGGACACTTCTTCCGCCCCATTTTATTATTGAACCTTCTCGTTCTCATCCTGAATCCAGAGCCACATGTCGACGAGCACTCGGACCACTCGGTCCATCCACTGACATCGCAGATCGCTGGATCAGGCAGTGCCACGTTCAAATCATCGTCAACGTCCTCGTCATCTCTTCATTACACAACATTCAATGCAGTGATGAAGCTCTTAATTGAGTGATTGCTCTATTCAATTATTTTAATTAACTCACCCACACTCTGGAGCACTGGCGACGCACATTTCCTTGGAGACCAGTTGTCTGTTGCATTTCAGCATTGCCGCCTTTTCCCGCATCAAGTACTCGCGTGTTCTCATTCGCAGGCCCTTCCCACAGGTGACGGAACAGGGTGACCAGGCAGTGTAATCCGTAGTTGCGCATTCAGCTGAATTTATTTAATTACACAATCATTTTGTTACAATTGTCCCGTAAAAGTTGAAATTTTGTGGAAAAGTTGGAGTTTTTCCTAGAATCTCTAATGGACCTCTACAATAATTCCATTTCAGTAATACAAGAGCTTTTTTGTCATACATTTTTTTTATTGCACAAATTTCATTAAAAAAATTGTTGCTCCGCCCGTTTTTTAATTAATTTTCGGTGATAAAAAAGTGGATAGATGATTCTTTTACGAGAGAAATTTTTATAGAGAAAACAGAAATCTACAGAATTTTGTAATTAATCTAGATAATCTTTAATAATATATATTTAAAAACCAAAATTAAAGGTTCAATAGATTTCTAAAATGCAAAAGTAAACAAATCTTTACTATTTCCATAAGCCGACTCCTAGGATTTTATAATATTAATTAAAAAACAGAAGCAATTAATATTCGAGAAATTCCATAGGCGTGTGAATACTTGGAGAAACCAAAATGACTAAATAAAAATAAATAAATAAAGTCCTATCATTTCCACAAAACCCTCATTTTCAGTTCTTACGTCGACTAGTGTCTTCCGTATTCTCCGCAACTTCAAAAAGCGAGAGCTGATCCTGAAGAGCAGCCTGATCGCACCCCCTCTGGATGACCTTTTCCCTGGTGAGATAAAGCTTAGCAAGTGGAACCATAGGTTTTCCACTGGGATCATAAAACGGAGATCGAGGATCCTCAGGATAAAGAGTGGTGATGGGTTTCATTTTTTCTCTAGGTCTGGTCTCAGAATTGGGAGACATATAACTGATGCCATTATCAGTGCCGGCATCCCAGGGATAGAGATCAATATCCATTCTGGATAGCCAAGTGCAATCCTTCTGGCACAGGTTCAATTTACTGACCCCAACGACCCAATCCGGTGATGGTCCAAGCATTGAGGCAACCGACAGCAACGGATGCTTACGATCTACCCTAAACACAAACGATCCCGTAAACTGGACATTTGGCTTTGGTAATGAGTTATTCAAAGTACCTGAAACTAGTTGTTGTGTTGGTGTTGACGTTGGGATACCACAGGCCAGCGGCTTTCACAAGGGTTCTCAAGTGTTGTGCTTTAGCGCGAAGTTCCGCCTCTAAACCTGAGGCCGAGCCCCATTCAGCTAATTGACGGAATCCATCCGTGGAGACGTGATCTGAACCCCAGAAGGAGAAATTCGGCTCGTGGGATGCACCGATTACGTCGCTGAAGTGCGTCAGCCACGCGGAGAAGGGAAAATCTTTGGGATGAGTCGTATTCGACCAGATACCCTCCATTATCAACTGGGGAGAATAATTTGCCAATTGAGGACGAGCATCCGGAATTGTGATAAGCCTCAACGACGAACACCGATTTTTCACAACGAGATGAAAGTATTTCAGTAGAACAACCACATTCGAGTGGACTTATCTGTTTTTCAGAAATATCTACGGATCTATCGAATATCGTGGAATTCTCGTCAGGACCTTTTCTCTAGATCTTGATTAGCTCTTTGAAAAAGGTTCTTATGAAAATTTTGATATCACCGCGAGATCTCGAGATATTCACTCATAACTTCAGGGGTCGAGAAAATAAAATCGAGTCAGGTTTAGAGGATTTGTTATAAAAATATTAATAAATGATAAATTATTGTTAATTGAGGGTTGAATGAATAAAGAGAGGACTTAATTTTTCCTCTAGATTTCCATTTTCACTCACAGAATATTTTGCCTCGTCGCACGCACAGCAGCCGCTCCCATCGTCGGTTTCCTCGGGAATCGCCTCGCAGAAGGTCTTCACGAGGTTGCCATCCTCGGCGAACCACGCGGAGGGCGACTCCATGACCATTGCCGTGAAGACGACGCACCCAGAACCAGGACCTGGTGATCTCCACATGACCTTCACCTCGGGCTTCTCATTGTCGCTCAGTTCGGATACTGTGTTGACGCAATCCTCATCGAACCTGGTGAGACCATTCGGGTAGAGCTGGAAAGAACCCACTCTAGCTACTTGACTGTTCGGGGAATGCTGAGAGTCCACAGACAGTCGGAATCTCGTGAACCCTTGGGGCCGCTCGTGAGTTTGATATCCTGAATCGAGAGAAAAAGTTTTATGGAGTTTGAAAAAAATTTATTGCTTCCATTTATTACGTCTCAAACTCGGGAAAGCAGTTCCAATGAAAATATATCCATATAGGAAATATATACTCTTATATAAACAATGAAAACAATATAATACATACTTGTTATCTAATTAATTTCTAATACATAAAATACATTTAAAAATAATTATACAACGGACTATTATACATGAATTGTATACAAAAATTATTTGACTAGAGAAAGAATTTTTAATTTGTTTTTTAGATCGATAAATTAATTTATTTAATATGACAGTGAAAATATTTCCAGACGATTTCCATAAAATTTCCGTGGAGTTTATGCCGTTAATCTCACTTAAGTACCTACCGCGAAGACTAATTGCGTAGATGGTGTTGGGAGTGTACTTGGTGTCTCTTCCACTGGTAATTACTCTGTACCCCCCATCTCCAGGGGTCCTGGGGGCTGTTGTCAGGGTGGGGGTGGGCTGCAGAGGGCAGGTGGCACTCGTTAACGAGATTAATACGGTCTGGAGGACCAGCAACATCCACACCGTCGACATTCCGGAGGGTTGTCCTCTGACTGAGTTCGGATTGAGCTCGGAGGAACGACTGACCCGTCGGACAACCAAATCGCGTAATCGTCCGCACTCGGAGATAATGACAGCGGATGCGCGTGGGACTGATGGTTAAATACAATTACAAGTTTTCTGGAGTGAAGAAAAAAAATTGATGATTTTCCTGGACAATTTTTATAAGGAACTCGTTGATCCGCTGATTTTTTTTTTTCTCGTCGGTGAGAAAAATAACTTGAAATGATTTGGGGTCGGGGAAGTCGTTATCTCGGGGAACCATTGACCTCAGGAGATAAGCATAAGACATAAACAGCTTCCAGGCACCAGAACGCTCCATAAAACACTCGTCTCTTCCCATGTGGCAGGGGAACGACGTCGCCAGGGGAAGTCAGATAAATCAAATATAATATTTTACGAAATCATCGATTTATCTTCAAAACTATCGATTCAAGGAGAGACTACTACGAGTTTTAACGACACGGGTTATTGAAGCCACATTATCGCTCGCTGAAGATTAATAAATAAAAGTTTAAAATGTTATAAATAGTCCAAGGAATTATTTCGAGTTATTTTCTCGAAATTTAACTTCTAGGCAACGATTTTTGTTCAGATAATGCAATTTTATACAAAAGATTGAACTAATTATATAAAATAGTTAAAAAAACTATTTTAGAAAGATTGTTAATAGAAATTGAGAAATTGATAATACATTTTATAAATTTGTACTAATTGTTATTGCAATAAATTACTCCAAAAATAGTTTTGCCACTTCTAAATTCAATAATTTAAATAATCAATCGATACATCAAAAAGTATAATTACAGTATAATTATATTATTATTATTACTACAAATTCCATAACCAATGAAAGACGGGAGCTATTTGCATTTGAAAAATCCATTTGTTTAACTGAAATAATTTTCATTGTTTAATTGATCGCGCTGTGAAATTGGCGCGCCGGAAGGTGACGCCATCTGTCTTGATATACGCATGCGCAAGGCTTTATCGACCGTACGGCGCGCAACTCCCTCCACTTTGACAAGTGGAATTGTCCCCCAGTTGCATCAACCGTGTCGCAACAATCACCACTTCACCAACAACGCATTATTTTCAATATTTCAAGTATCCCGAGGTATTCCGACATTACCTGAAAGAACCCTCGGGAAATGTACCCGAATAATTGACGTAATCGAGGCGCGAATTACGTGGGGATGACGCGATGGTGTAGCTGAGAGTTAATTAGTGACGGGGAAGATTATTCAGTTGGAGATTCAGAGGATAAAAATGGCTAGTCTAGCCAGCAGTTCCGGGGTCTTCCCCAGGGCACCAACCATGCTGGAGCAGCTGCTGGAGGAGATCAATTTCCAGAGGACTAAGGAGATGCGCCAGCTGCTCAAGGACGGTAAGTCCAATCATCATCAATTAACAGATATTAATCAATAAAAATATCGATGAAGTTATCGGTGGAATGGAAAATTTATTGAAATAAAGACGCGTTGAGTCACGGCTGTTTGTATCGATCACCTCTCGATACATTAACTTGTGTTGGTAACTCACTGCGTCGACGCGACTCCACACCTGTAAATCTCTATTTGTTTTTTCTTTTTTATTCTCAATTATTGTCTTTGCAGATTCGGGATTTGTGATGCTGCAGGGCACAACCTACTGGACGGACCTGTTTGTCCGGCACTTTCTCTTTCAGGCTGAGCACACGATCGATGGCGATGATCTCCTCTTTTTCGTACGGAAGAAACACATTAAGACGTCATCACGGTATGTTCCGAAATTTGAGACTGAAGTCGATGTCTTCAGGAAGGACAGCAAGAAGCTGCCGATTGGTGATCCTGATATTGACTGGGAGGAGACGGTTTATCTCAATCTCGTTGTTCATCAGTTTGATTACACCCTGACTCTAGCCATCTGCACGAGAACTAGTCCGAAGGAATTGCAAGTCAGTTACAGCATCTTTTCACAACTTCAACAATTTATTTATAATAATGCATTTCTCTGATTTTTCTCTGAAAAAATTTATTACATTCATTTATTTTTTCTTTGTTTTCCAGAAATTATTCTATTTACTTTTTTTTTCATCATTAATTTTATAAGAATTTCGCATAAAAATTATCGTGTAATTGTTGTTGTTAATTTTATTGTTAAATTTATACAGTGCAATCGAGAAATTAATGAGAATAATTAATAAAATTCATGTGAGAATTTCTCTATAAAAATTATTCTTGAGTTATTGTTGTTGATTTTATTGTTTAATTTATGGAATGCAATTGAACATTAATGGGAATGATTAACAGAATTCATCAGAGAAATCGCAGGATTTTTTATTATAATTTTTTTTTTTACGCGTTTCAGCGCGCAATTTGAATCTGATTAAGTGGTTATGCCCTCAGGTGCTCAGACGGCACTCGCAAAAGGTCTACGCGAGTCCCAGCCGACGGAGGATGGACGCCAAAGGGGATCTCGAGGAGATGACGTATCCGCACATTTGCTTCATGGTTGATAACTTTGACGAAGTATTCTGTGATATTTTAGTTAGGGATGGAGAGATGGTGTGTGTCGAACTGGTGGCCTCCGATCGGGAGGGGGCTGTCCAGGGGGTCATCTTCCTGGGGTCCATTCGGTACGACGCGTTGAAGAAGGTTTACGACGCGAGGGTGAGCCCAATCATTAATTTAAAATTACAAGAATGTCATAAATCGTTGGAAAAATGCATTTCAAATTCCAAATTAAAGAATTAAAATCCTTAACAATTTCTTTTTGGGAAATTATTCAAAAATGAGAAAATTCAGGGAACAATTTAAATTTTAGATTTCATGAATAAATAAATTATTATTAAACATGAGAAATCGAATTGTATTGCTTTTTCTTGATAATTCGATGAATTAGTTATTAATATTTCAAGGAATTTTGCAATCGCCAGAGATTTCTGCAAGACGATCCGAATTTTTTAGTTTAAAAAATCCCCAAAAAATCTGGAAGAGTTCCAAATTTGAAATTTGACATGAGTACAATAATTCCGGAATTGAAAAACATTTCGGTTCCTGCAGTCGAGTTTGAGCACGAAAATGGCGCAGAGGATGACTTTCGGGCTGTTCTCCGGTGCGTCCTCGCAGCGCGTGGAATTCGTCCGCATGAAAGGACCACAAGGTAGACCCCCACCCCAGAAACCCCTGAATTCACCATTGACCCAATTGTCTGTTGGACCTCAGGTAAAGGTCACGCAGAGATGGCTGTAACGAAGCCAAAGGGATCGGGTGCGGAGACACCGACGTCGGAGCCCGGTTACTCCGTGACGGATGCCCTCTGGGACGCCGACTGGGACGACGCAGAAGAGCTCTTCATGTATCGTCACCAGAGAAGACTCTCGGATCCCAGCTCGAATCTCAATAATTTCGTTCGCGGTGGCTGGCGAACGAAACCCGATCAGTGCGCATCGAAGGCGCGATCTGAGAACGAGGGTCTCGACTCCATGGCCAATGGCCTCAACGAAATCGAAGCTGGTGACGTGCGTGACGGTAATTACCCAATATTTAAATAGAGCAATTAGAAAGTACCAGGGGATAAAGCGAAGCCACACACATCCATTAATCAAATTCTGAATCGAATCAAGTCTCGACGATTTGGAATTCGATTTACGTAGTGAAGAGGTACTTGTGCATGCGCGATATCATCCCCAGCTAGTTAAAATTGTGGCAAGAGCTGCATGCTCCCAGTAATATTGTGATACCCAGGGGAGCGGAGAAGGTAGAAAACGCGCGAGTGACGACGAATAACCCAGGAACATGTTGTCTTCCAATGATTACTTGAAATTCAATAGCTCAAGTTCTTTCTTCTTCTCTCTCGAAGATCCTCTCCCCCGAGCAATCCACGTGATTCCCAACTTCCTCACACGCTCGACAATTTAACAAAAAAAAAAATTTAAACACCCGTTATGCCTGCGATGTGGCGAAAAAAAAAATGGGCAAATTTCCTTTGTAGCTAAGGAACAGGCAAGCAGCTGGGGCGGCCGGGTCGCCTCGCCGTTGCGACCTGGGGGTAAAGATTATCGGAGGAGTCACCGGGTGAGGAGACGATCCACTAGGGAACGAAGTGCCGAGAGGGACCGCATTGAGAGTAATTGGGGAAATGAGAATTGTACATCGCCGAGACGTTACGCCGGTGAGTCGGGGAATTCTTGTTTAGGGTATCCCGGTGGACGTGGCTGAATATTTTGGTGAAAAATCTTGTGCTTTCTCGGAAATATTTTATTGGATTCATATTGAAATTCTCTGAGACATTATTTTCTTCAAAAATATACATTTTCGCACAAAATTCCAATTATTCGTTATCTTCCCATTTTTTTGTGGATATTTTCTTAAATTTTGTCATGAGACGATAATAACAAAAAAAAATTTACACAATAAAATTATACAATCGTATATAAATCATATAAAAAAACAATAAAAAAACGGAATTCGCCAGGAATTTCAAATGCAAAATCATTGCGTAGAGAAAGGTCCGCCCTAGGGGAAAAAATATGCAAAATATATAAATCTATAATAATTATGTGACATATATGTGACCTATTGTATTTTTCACAACATATGTACATATAATTAATATATATTTCGCATGTGTACCGTAATTGACGCGGGCGTGTTTTCCCCTGAATAATTTCCATTCGTGCGGTGATAGCGAGAATGATATCTCGATTTGAGAAAGGGATTAACGTGGGGATAATGCAGGAACACCAAAGCGTCGCCATCGTCACAGGACTCATCATATCGAGGTGGGAAGTGAGTCCCTGGTGGTTAGTCCTGGTGATAATCCCACCGAGGACAACGTCATGCAGAAGCTAGATGCTGGGGCAATTCTAGTCAACGGAAAAGAGGAGCTGCCCCTCGGTTACGAAGACAATGCATTCCTCAATGACAGACTACCGAATTACGAGAGGAATGACTCGAGGGGTTTTCTCTCGTCGGATAGCAATCGGGAGGAGAGCCTTCGCCGTCGGCGAACACGTCATAGGCCACGCCGATACTTCAGCGATGACGAACTCTTCGGGGTTGTGGGTAGAAGGAACGGCACCGAGAGCAGAACTGACACCGATGATGATAATCATCCAAGGATTTCCCCGAAGGACAAGAATGCCAATGCCAGGATCACCAAACCCCTGGAGGGATGTCAGAGGCAGAGTGCCACGTTACCTAGGAGACGCAGAAGAAGGGCTCTCTCTGGGAGTGTCATTGGAAATCATCCTCTTCCACCCCACAGGGTCACCCCGGATGGCACTGCCATCTACTACTGGTGCGAGCTCCCGCGCCGCCCCGGCTCTCAGGGTAATTTCAAATACCTGAAACCCTCTTTAATAAACTGGATTAATTCATTATTAATTCATCAAGCTGACCCAGCGAATCTCCTCACTCCCCCTCGTTTGAGTGTCGTCACTCGTTCGATTTCTACACTGAGAAAAAAATTTGTTAAAGATATTCATTGAAGAATCAATTGTTATACGAAGCTCCGGGATCCTTCAAGCATTTTTTCATTTGAAATTATGGAAAGGTGGTACTATTAATTCGAGATCACACTAGATTCCAGAAGATTTCGCTTAGGCTCAGGGAATATCTGAATGTCAATCAGAAAATACTGTCTAAAGGGATTTAATTGTATCAGCGAATATTCATTTTAATTACTTGACAGGAAAATTCTCATGGAAATTATTGATATAGCTATTACAATTTCTCAGAGAGAACTTCATATGATGTGATGATATAATAATATAATTTCATTGCGATCTTATTGGTCGGGGCCAAATTAATTATGAATTCTTGGTCATGGTATCAAGTCGAGAATTGTGACTGGAGATAATTAATAAATTTTATTGTTTGATGCTCTGTTTTTCATGGATTTTAGTTTATTGATGAATGGAATGCGAAAATCTTGATATGTGAGAGGTGAAACGGGCACTCTGGCGCGGGGGACAACCGAGGTTACTGACCTGGGTCAAATTATGAGTTTAATTTTTTTATAATGGATTGGGGGAGAGATTAGTAATGAGGCCTTTGTTGGTTCAGAGCTGGATGACGGGGCTTATAATCCATTGTGGACCATGAGGGGATTCACACAGACATTTCACTTCTGGAAGGAGACCAGGAGGGCGCAATCAGTTCCTTTGAATGCTTTTTTGACGTACATCACTTTACCCTGGTGGAGTATAGCCAAAGGTTTGTTTAATATTAAACTTCATTAATTAATGATTATACAATATTTATTATTCCAAATCTTTTGCATTTTGGTTGTAAAATGTCAAATCAGATGTTTGATTAATTGAATTGAATTTTGCAGACATACTGGACCACCGTGAGGATCCCATCCTGACATTCTAATGATCGGTGAAAATGGATTTGAATTTTTTAAACCCGAGAAGTACCAATTCGATCGACAAGTGCTAGTCAACGCAACTGATTCCATTATTTAATGTAAAAATTCGATCAATACACGTAATTCTGTTTGTATGAAGCTTTACTATCTACACCCTACCACATCCCCATCCGTTGGACAACCGATTAAAACCATTGACGAGGAAAATCCGTGATCAGTTGAATTGAAATTTTCTCTTCGAGTGGAACTGGTTGAGATGGAGAGGAGAGTTTGGATAGCGATTTGCGTTATCTGTGTTGGGGGCAGTGTTCAGGGACAAGATTACTTCGAGTTCATGAGGAATGATGGGACCAGGGGATATAGTAAGTATATCAGAGGTGATCAATGCTCCCGTTCACTGAGAAATACTTGATGGATTCAGGTCAGAGATCTCCACCTGCTCCTTCCACAAATCGGACTGTTGCTCCAGCTAAAATTATCAGACTTCCAAATGCTGCGTACACTGATGATGATTTTTATGGGTCCAATATGGGCAAGAGTCCAGTTGTTGTTGGTGAGTTTGGGGACTTGTCATTCGAGGAAAAATCAATTCATTTCTGGGAATTCCCTAAAGAAATTAAAAGAACTGACTTCGACGATTTGTTCGAATGTGAAAAAATAATGGAGACAATATTGAAATAAAAATTCTGTCTGGACTTTTTGGAAAGCTAATTAACCGCTACAAATGGTCATTACGACAACTTGTGGGTTTCTCTTAGTTTTTTGGATGATAATTTACCGAAAAGTCAGGGATTTTGAGGGGAAATTGATAAGAGAATTCCTGGAATGCAGGAATTTTTTGGGATTATATCGTTTTTATCTCTGCAATATGTGAGAATTATTTGGGGAAGAGTTGAAAAATTATGGAATACTCTTGATTTCAACAGAATGCAAACCCCGAATCAATGAAATCCACGCAATGATGAAAAGGGCTATGTGCAATCCAAAACCCACACTTGTGAAATTGAATCCAGATCCTGGGTACGAGTACAGCCCAAATATTATCATTGTCAATCGATGCAAAGGTCCTTGTGGCCATTTTACCCAGTCCTGTATGCTCGGAGAGTCAACTTTTAGAACAATTGTTGTCAAGAGGAAGGAGATAGCCAAGGGTTTTTTCGTGTCCCAGCCACAATGTTTAGAGATTCAGGTTGAAGAGCACACGGGCTGCAAGTGAGTCCATGAAAAAAATAATACAAACTGTTCTGTTATGAAAAAATATTGAATAATATGAATTATATGAATTATATAAATAATATTGCTCTTCAAAATATTCCCAAAAAATATTGTAAGTCAAAATATTTTTAGGTGTAATATTTCGAAGCAATAATTTTTTTTTGTTCTGTTATGAAAAAATATTGAATAATATGAATTATATGAATTATATGAATTATATGAATAATATTGCTCTTCAAAATATTCCCAAAAAATATTACAAGTAAAAATATTTTTAGGTGTAATATTTCGAAGCAATAATTTTTTCAGTTATAATATTTTGATAAGTAACCGAAAATCGAAAGATTTCCATTTTCCAATTGAATTTGTTTGCAATATCTTTCTCCGTTTTTCGTAATGATTTCCAAGAAGAGTAATTGAAAAAATAGGAAACCGATAAGAGTTGAGAGTTCAGCGATTTCCTTGAGCACACGGGAAAAGAAATTCTTCCTTTTTTGATAAGAAAAATGGTAGCCCCTGTGGTGGAGGAAGCGGTATGACTTTATAATTTATTTTTACCGAATATCCTGGAAAGATGTGGATGCGATTTGATGGAGGGCCACTGCAATAAGAGACAGAAATATTACCCGGATGCATGTGACTGCAAATGTATGAATCTTGATGAGAAATTGAAGTGCGATCAGCAGTCACACATGGAATGGGATCCAGCGACTTGTCGGTGCAATTGCAAAATGGAGGAGGAAATTTGCAATACTGGACTGCACTGGGTGCCCTCAATGTGCAAGTGCGTGCTCGCATCTATAATTAATAATGCTTGATACAATTAAAGACTGTACTATCATGTGTATTTTATTATTTCGACTATTTTCAGATGCGCTAAAGTTATCGAGAACTTCATTTCCCCATTCAACAAGTAAACTTTGGCGTCAGGAGCACTCGTAATCCCTTTAAATAATTATTAACCCATCAAACGATATCTTCGATTATATTTCAAGGATTTTGAGAATTGTTTTTCAATATCAATAATCAATAGTTCAACTTCTCATTTTCACACAGAGAATTACATTTTTCCTGTAAGAAATCTTTTCATTCCTAGAATATTATAAATAAATAGCACTGTAGATTTTTGTTTCCCTGTTTTGATTCGCAATTGCAATCCTTCTCCATCCCTTCTAAAAAATTCGATTTAATTCAATTCAACATGTGGCAACCCCCACTCCTACCCAACTCAATTTTCATTAATTATTAATTAATAAATTATGCGAATTAATGAAATTTCTCATAAAAATTTGTTGGAGGACTTGTATGCAGTGGTTGCTAGAATTCAAATGACAAATGTTGGAACAAAAAATTGAAATAAAAAAACAGGGAAATCCGATCTCTCTTTTATTATTTATAGTGACCAGGTCATGACAATTATGCACTATGACAGATAAAATCTCCCTGGAAATCCGATCCTCTTGCTTTCCCCGTGTAATCCCCGAAATTATGCCACGTGTGATTCCACAGCGCTGGATTTCCGCGTGGATCCACCTTACGATTTCTCGCAGGTACAGCCGTTGAATTCAAATGAATCAACTCTCGCATCATCCTCTCGAGTACTTCAGCATTTCTACCATAAATTCTCGGGGTTAACGGAAAAAGTGAGACATTGGAATAAGTATCACTTACTGGTTGGCAAGGTTGTTTAATTCGCATGGGTCCTGATGAATATCAAAGAGACAAGGGGCCTTCAGAGGTCGACAATCAGGTAAACTCGGGTTTCTCTCGCCGCACTCGATTTTCGAATTCTCTCGGAGTTCAGTTATCTCTGTACTCGTTAATTGACAGCCGAGTGACGTTACCGCACGACCTGCTGAGCTATCAATGACTTCGTTGATGATGTACGGTGTGTCCCAGGCTGATGGACCGTACCAGCTGCCATAACTCGCGTAATCAGTGCCTTTAAATTGTTCCTAATAAGTACCTCATGCGGTTACTATAACGCAACTCGTCAAAATGAGACCATGAGAAATGCATTTCGCCATCGCAAGTCGTTCATTAATCCTCCGCAGTATTATCGATGACAAAGTCATTACTCGGAATGATTGATTCATCGATTTTAAAATATTCTCGATACAAAACTCATTCGTATAATTCTCAAAGTGATTTGTAGATTGCAGCAACCTTTAGTATTTAGTATTTATTATTTATTATAGATTAATCAGTGACTCGAATAAATAAATTAAATTTCAATTATCAATAAAAGTATTGAAATCACCAGTTGAAACTGTTCGAGTGCCTTTCATGCATAAAAAATATTAAACTTCTTTCATTATTAAATCATAAAAATGCTATTAAGAGAATATTTATTTCATGTAGATACTTCATTCAAGAAAATTGCCCTCTTATTCAGGAGTGAAGATATAAATCTTTTGCAACTTTCTAATGGACTCGGTTTTGTGGGAAAATTACAAACCGTTAATCAGCTTCCAGTTGTCCATAGTTATTGCTCCATACTTCGCCAAAACATCGATGTTGTGGAGAATGACGCGAGGAGGTGGTGACTCATTGGTATTCATAGACTGCCACATGTCTAGGCCGTCTAGAGATGCTGGGATAGATGATTTATTGGCTCCAGCGAGTGTTAAAAGTGTTGGGAGCCAATCAACGATGTGCATTTTTTGGGTGAATATTCTTCCAGGATTGGAGAGCCTTGGGGACCATATCAGCGCTGATGATCGAACTCCACCTGTTATTTTTTATTTTATTCTCTATCGATCAATGATCATTAATCATAATCAATTATAAATACTAATAAAAATAATAATATTAATATCATTATTAATTAATTATCATATTTTTTAATTGGGAGGTATTGACTATTGATTGGGAATTGATTATTTATTTTCGTGTAAATTATTGTTTAGATTAGTTTAATTCAATTATTCTATTTATTAATTTAATGTTAATTGGACAATCATCGAATTAATTAAGGAAATTTCAAGACAAATGAGAAATTTTATTGAAATAGAATTGATGTTGAATTCTCGGGTAAAAAAAAATTGTAATCGGAAAATTTTTTTATAATTTTCTAGAACTTTTTGCGAATATAATTTTGTTTAAATTATACTGTTGTTTTCTAACTTTTTAAATTTTTTAATATTCTCAAAAAATACGCCATCTAAATAATAAAAAAAAAATTTCTATTTAAATTTTTGAAAAATTTTTCAAAAGCTTTCCCAAAAATGAAATCGTTGTGTACCGATTTTTTTTTGTTTCATAAAAAAAAATCTGAAAAATTTTCCAGAAATTTTAAAAATTTTGAAAAAAATTCCGATTACTATTTTTTTTTACCCGGGTTCATGGAATTGGAAATTCATGTGAATTATTAAGAGTACCTTCCCAGGGAGTAGCTTTGACACCTCTGAGTGGATAATTGGACGCGGCATTCCCATTAAAACCCGCGGCAGGTCCCCCATTGTCCGAAGAAAATATAATGACACTGTCATTGAGCATTTTCTTTTTATGGAGTGCCTGGACAACAGCTCCGACTGAATCATCGACTTTACTCAACATGGCGGCGAATTTCCGGCGTTTGTAATGCTGGACATTGGGAAATTTTTCGATGGTCTCGTCAGGTACTGGTAGCAGGTCATAAGGATTTGATGAGTGAGTTGCGCCATGAGCTAGGTACAAGAATAGCGGCTCTGTATCATCATGCCTCTCGATGACTTTCACCGCTTCCTGGGAGAATACGTCAGTGGAATATTTTCCGTGGAGATCCCATGCTGTATCCATACCCCGACGCATGTCCACTCCCCAGTACGGCTGACACAGAAATAAATGTTTATTTAAAAATGCATATTTCAATTATCCTCATTACCTTCGTGTTTACAGAAATATTTTTATCATAACCGATGAGGGTAAATTGTCATAATCAAAGACGAACAATTCATCATCTCATCGGTAAGTGACACCTCATCCACGTCTATTTACCATATCGACAATTTATTACATGGCCAATTAGATTCATTACACAGAAAATTCTGGAATAATATTTTACACGTCGAAAAGTTTTCGGAACTAAAAAAAATAATATAGTTACTTGACTAACTCTATCCCTCGAGAAGAATTGTATTCTATTTTTCTTTGATTGATTTTTCGGAAAATAATTGGGTTCGTAATTATTGTTATTTCTTAATAAATGAGTGATTAAAATAAGACGGTAATTAAGCTGATCCATGAGTTTTCAGAAATCATTAAAAAATGTGTTAACACTCGTGTTGACGGGTTTGAAAAGATTTCGCGGTGATCTTTTAATTAGCCCGTACCAATTCCTCAGCCGTGTGATCGAAGTAATTGTGATGACCAGTCCAAAATCCAAGATGACTCTCAAACCCTCTGCACAAGGGTGTATACTTGCTCTCGAAATGACCGAGATGCCACTTGCCAACAATATGCCGGCGATAACCCAAATCCCGTAAATACTCCGGAAGAAGTTTCTCGTCGAGCGATAATCCCCATGGTTCAGCCCCCTTCACGACCTTCCACATAAAATCATCATCATTACTCAAGTTGGCAGAACAACAGAGTGATTAGAGTTGAGATCGTGCTTACCCCGTGCTGCATGCCAGTGTGTATTGGGTATTTTCCGGTCATGAGAGCACTTCTGCTCGGTGAGCACAGTGGTGTCACATAGTGATGATTCAGGATTAATCCAGTGTACGCCAGGGCATCGATATTTGGTGTCCGGATATCCCCAGCACCATGAAAACCCACGTCATTCCATCCCTTCACCGAGAAAATCAGCAGAAAGTGTGTAAGAGCTATTGCAATTGTCGCAATTGTTGCAATAATTACAGTTATCAATGAATTTATTTAAAAATGAAATCTTGTGTGAATGATTTGATTTGTGACGAGTGGTCTTTGCCGCTTATCATTGCGACGACTTTTTTTTTTTTTGGATTATTGGTAGTTGACATTATCTGTTATTACCAAGTCGTCGGCGAGGATGTAGATAATGTGCGGCGACTTTGCGCTCACTGAGTCCAGCAAGTACAGTACGACAATATGAAACAACATGACAACGAAATAATGTACGTCTCGTCACTGAGAGACAAACTGAGAACTCTAGTGATGGACACTTCGTGTCCCCACTCCAATTTTATTGACTCATTATCTTCAATTACTTTCGCACAGACGAATTGAGGTGTGACACCGGAATAACGCGGGATGCTGTGGGCAGCGCTGGGGAAAAAATTTTACCGAATTTTTCGGGAAGAGTTGTCACTTGTTTTATCGTGTCGCAATTTTACGGGATTTTAGAATATAGTGGCATTGGGAATTCAGAATTTTCAGGGAAAAATTCAATGGAACTGCCAATTTTCCTCGCATTTTTCCTGGGAATGAGAGGAAAACCAGAAATTCTGGTAAATGCATTTTTCAATCTGAAAAAATAATCAAATTTAGGATTTCATTGGGAATTTAATGTAAATTAGATCTAATTAGTTGATGAAATAAATAATAATCAATTAGTTAATTAATTTTGAATTCTCATCTCCATGTCTTTTAAAATTCCACAATTTCCCGGAATTTTCAGTGGAATCCGAAATTTAATAACTTTTGAACCCCGTAGAAATCAATAATCAATTGTTAATGAATTTTCATTTTTAATTTTCTTAGAATACACACGTTTTATCTGCAATCACTGGATTGATCTGATATTAATGACTTGAGGCGATAATGACCGCGTTATCATCCGAAATTGCGCAGCGAGAAATAAACGGTTTATCCTACATTTCACGAGATTCGCTGCAGAAAATTGTCGGTTTTTTGCTGCAGTACCGCACAATGTTACGGCAGATTATGTGAGACAGTTAGGCAGAGGAAGTTGTGGGCCACACACGAGGATGAAGCCACCGTCGGTACACATCACCGATTTCCCTGTCACATATTTTTCACCATTTTTTATCAATAATTACTTTCGAAATTACCCGCCAATTCGATGTGACAGCTGCGCAAGGATAAATTATGGGGAAAAACTCCGGGAAATTACCGAATGAACTGGAAATTTTGCCGGAATTCTCCTCAACTCCTGAAATATATCGCGTAATTGATTTCAATTGATTTTCAATTGATTTTCAATTGATTTTCAATTGACTTTCAATTGATTATTTATTTCTCAATAAAATTGTTGAAGGAATTTTACCAGTTGAAATTTAGTGGGAACGGTATTTGAATTATTTCTGGATATTTAATTTACGTGAAAAATATAAAACGGAATTGATCTCCCACGTTCTATTAAATTTGTTATAATTTCCTCGCGCAAAAATTGCTGACGTTTATGATATAATTTTCCTAAATCACTCGATTTTTTCGATCCGCGAGATATGGTAATTGGTCATTCGCCGGCAATCTCGCAATTTCAGCGTGAAAAATAGTATAAATCAGTCGTTAGAATGTGAGAAATGCGCGATTACGTATTTTGTCTAAATGCATCGAGAACTTTGATCGCTTCCTCGCTGCCATTAGCATAATCGCGGAATTTTCATCGGCTGAAATGTGAGAACAGCCTCATTTACGGAGTAGCACACGATCATTAATAAAAAATCATTACCAATAAAATGTCAACAAAAATTAACTACAAATAGCGTAAAAATTATTTTCTCCAAAAAATTAAAAATTACATTATCCCAATTCAGTAAAACAGAATTAAAAATACATTTCTATCTTTAAGTAAAAAAATTTCCGGATAATTTATTCATTAATTGAATTAAACAATTAATTAATTAAGTTTAGTGATTGATTTAATTTCGCGATTGCGTCGCGATTTCTTCAGTTTTTTTCTGAGTGCAATGAGAATTGCGGGGGAGGGTAATGAGACCTTGAAGTTTATACCTTGGCGTACCCTCTCCCCATATTCTGACCAGGGGTAGCCGTTGAAATTCTCGGAAATCGCGATCATCATTCCGTTTGCAGTCCGACTCAGTCCCATGATGACACGGACAACTATTTTCGGTGCTTTCGCGTCTAACACCGTGGAATGAGTTAATTTCAATGATGTTCGGGGGCGGCCACAGGTGTCCAGCTATTTTCGATGATGAGAATATAATCCCACGAGGAATTTACTTCATATTGAATAAACCTGCGGCGTAATTCGCATAAACTGTAACATTCAGTCGAAATCGCGGGATCTCAGTTGATTTTTGAATTTTTAAAAATAATTTAGAGAAAATTCCACCATTTTTTCCGGGTTAAACATTTCATTCCCGTTGATACGATCAACAATTTATCAGAAAATGAATTAATCGGCTGTTTTTTACTGAATATTTCTCTCTGTACAATTTAGAGGGAGTGATTACTGGAGTTGCGTAAGTGATTGCAGATCTGGAACTGTTGATTTCATGAATGAGAGAAAAATAAAAAAAATCGAGTGAATGTTCTCGGAATTGTTAATTAATTGTCCGACATTTTTTGTCACTGTCTATTTCCGATGGTGAAGCAACGGTTGAGCAATAATGAGGATTCTCGAAATTGCTGCTGTCGGGAATTTGAAAACATATTTGGCGTTCGTTAATATGGAAATTTCAATGATCGGAATGTAAATTCTCAAATGAAATGTCAACATTGATAAATATCTTCGGGGACATATTTTGTAAAGCGGTCAATTTCCCCATCTCTTGACACTCTCGGTATATTTTTTGGACAGAATTTCGAGTCGTCACTTCTGTCGGGGAATTGAATTTTATTTTATTGGAAACTCGACACTCACTTCGATTGCGAGGCCTTCGATAATTGGCAGCAGTTGACATGCTAATTTTCTTTCAATTTCTCGCTACGAGAAATTCATTCCGTCAAAGGAAAAACTTTCGCAATGCGAATTAATACGCGAGTCGGTGATCCTTTAAAAATCCGCACCTTCTCCGACAGAAATGACTATTGATTCTAATCTAGATTGTTTCAATTTCTTTAGGATTAGATGAATTGTTGAATTATTCATTATATATTCATTCTCATTTATCAACATCTCATGAAATTTCCGTTACAAAATCATTTCAATTTTCAATTATGTGAGTGTCAAGTGAATTTTAATTAAAAGCGTTCACTGAATTTCATTTATTTTGAAAATTAAAGAGAATTAGTACTGCTCAATTATCCATTAAAAAATTTCATAATACTTATTTTATTATTTACTTATTTATTCAATTTGAATATTTAACACTCGCAATAACATAACATAACATAACGTATTTCAGAGTATTAATTAATATCACTTATTACTTTTTTAACAATTTTTCCGAATTTGTCTCGGACATCAATTTTTCTATTGAATGCATTGCTCATCTTTTAAATTATAAAATTTTCAGATTGTTATTTCTTTCAATTCTTTTTTTATTGTCAAGCTATTACCTCTGTTATTTTAATTAACATGATTTTTCATGTAAGATAATTATTGTGTGTTATTGGGAGTGGTAATTTTTTTTTTCTCATTTAACAAAAAAAGTGGAGCAAAGTGAAATTTCAAAGTTTCAAATCCAATGAATTACCAAAGTGGTGAGTAAATAAGAGGGATGAATAACAAGGCCATCGTAAAAATACCGACCGAAGCTTTACAACGAAAAAAATCTCACAGGTCTGTGGTTTCATCTTGGGGTAATTGAAAACGCGGGTTGGCAAATGCCGATGTGTACAGTGAACGAAACCCGCTACAAGATAGAGTCGAGAAAGGAAGAGAAAGAGAATAAAAAATATTGAATGAGAGAAAAAAACTGATCGACCGCCCACGAAGAGAGTGGGGCTTCCTATGTAACCGTTCACATTATATATTTCTCCCGGTTTGAAATAAAAAAAATTAAAATAAAAATTTAAAATAAAAAACCGTACGGGGCATAACCAACACGAATTGAGATGCTTCGTCGCTTCCTCTGTCCCTCGGTCTCGCTCTATCAATAATGCCTTTTTATATGGTACCCTCCTACAAATGTTGAATTATCGCTACTTCGTATTATAATTACCGTAACGAGAAAGATATACTCGTGGAACAAACGGGGATCGACATGGCTCGTTAACGAACAAATTGAACCGTCAGGGGAAGTTATTTTTAGTCTTCGATGTGAATGGTATTAATTATATTAATTGGGGGTTTGTTGTTTTGAGTCGATCATTCTTTTGTACCCCTTCGGACAATTGATTTTTTTTATTCATCTGCTACTTCATACTTTTTATCATCTCATTTGTTTATTTACCAGAACGGTAGTTTCCAAACTGTCATTAATAATTCATTTTGCAGAATGAATTCATTCAAATTATTTCATCAGACATTTTTTCCCGCTCAAGTCATACAGTCGGTTTTATTGTCCATTTATTTAAAGTCATTAGGAATCGTCTGGACATTTTGTTTATAAAGTTCTGGATGAATTTTCGAAAAGCCAGGGAATTTCAGATGTACGCAATGTTTATAAAAATCTTGAACTTTCTCACGATCGTATCGAATTGCATTGAAATTCCACTTTGGTTTTTTTAATAAGTCAGTAATTCCATTGATGATGAATGTGAGGAAACAGTACATAAAGTGTCTATAAAATACTTGACGAAATTTTCAATGGCAATCGACAATCCAAAATCTCTCATGAATGTGTCTTTAGCGTTGTACCATTTATTTGAATAATCGAATGTCTTTGATATTACAAAACTCAATGAGAAGTTTTAACGATCGATGATGATACTTTTATCGCTGAAAGGCACGTTCCCGAGATGGATCATAAACTCCAAGTTTTACGAGATGAAGATTGGGAAGGTGAGGAAGGTGGGGAAGGTGGAGAAGGTGGGGAAAGTGGGGAACGTGGGGAAGGTGGGGAACGTGGGGAACGTGGGGAAGATAGAGAACGTGGGGAAGGTGGGGAACGTGGGGTCCTCGAAGATGATTCCAAAGATGATTCCAAAGATGAATATTCCATTTTAATAGTTCATAATTTTGACTTATGGTTTATTCAAATCAGACCTATCCATCCCTACGCAATTTCCAATTAGCATGAGGAAGGGACATCCCAATAAAAATAATAGCATTCAATAAAAAATAATTCATAACGCAAATTCGAAACGCAATAGAGTGCGATAAATATCTTATTTCGTAAT